AAAAAAGGCTTAGTTTCGTTAAGCCTAACTTTTATGATAATTCAGTCTCTGAGAGCATAAAACATAAATATATGTGTATACGTAATTTGTTAGTTTTAAACAGTTCACACATCAATGAACTTTAAGTGAAAGACGAGTTGGGAAAATGAGTTTGAGTTTACTTAACTCAAATTATTTTGTTCTTGTCTAAGTTACTTAATGTCATTGAGATAACACAAACTTGTGGAAAACAAAGTGAAAAATCTAATCGTATATAAGATTCATATTAACATATTGAACTATTTGTAGAGTAATAAACGGACCATTCTATACGTTAAAATATTTTTATTGTGCAATAAAAGTATTTTAACGTAGAGAAAAGATATTTATGTCTTATTTGCATTTAACTATTTAAAGCAAAACATCTTTGAAATTTGTTTAAGTTTACAGTTGTACTAGAGAATAAATATATATCATAAAAAATGGTAAAATAGTTGATTATTACGATCAATATATTTTTAACAGTATCGTTCCAGATTATTTTAATACCTGAAATGGCAAAATGCTATACACAGTACGTAAGATTCGAGAACCATTTTTTTTTCTGTTTAATAAACAGAATTCCACCTTTTTAGTGCAAATACATTACCGTTTGATCGCGAGCCACCATTAACAACGTCTCTAGTTAAACAAACGATGTTGATTTAGTTATGTAATAGTAAACACAAAACAGTTTTTTTTTTTCAGGATTAACCAACAATGCTGTTAAATGTTTAAGCTGGAGAAGCAGTGGTGTTTTCTAGGCCTACAAAAGAGTGATAAAAGTCATACCTGAGTGCAGGTATTTCTTCGCTACGTTTCTCCTGATTTGTGACAGATGAGAGATAGGTCCGAGATACTATTTTAACACGTATCTGATTTTAAAAGACTGAAATCTGGCTAGTGGTTTTTTCCTTCAATTAATCCATTATAACTATTAAAAATTTTTACAAATTATATACATGAAAATGTACATTCTTGAAACAAACAGGGTATCCCAACTTTCCATAGGGCTGTAACAATGATTG